CCCCAAAACCCCAAAACCCCAAAACCCCAAAACCCCGATTTCAATCCTAGAATTGAAGATATTTCACATAAATTTTACAATAAATTCTCAGAAAGTTCTAATCTCCTGTTGAGTTGGAGGTAGTTAGCTTCAATCAGTTCTCTCCAAGGAACTCCGAGTATTAGCATAAAATAGCAGCCCATTAGGATGATATTTCCTAGAGCTGTACCTTCCCAGATTCCAAAGTAAGACTTGGACTGTACAAATGTAAAATAATACACTAGAGGAATCTTAATTCCCCAGAGAATGAAGAGGTTTACCAAGGTAGCCTTTATTTGGTATCCTGCTGCCTTGATAATTCCTATAGAGGTGCCTTGCACCATTTGGATACCACTTCAGATCAGAAACATTGTGAAAACTTTGCAAAAATTTTCAACAATTCTTTGGTCATCAGTAAATAGCAAAATTATATTTTCTTTAAAGATCATACACGTGGCTACAATCATAACAATAGTCATAAAGGATCAGATGAAGAGAGCCAAAATTGATGTTTGGGCTTTCAACAAATCCCCTTCTCCAATAGAGTTTCCTATCAATCATATAGCTGCGTATTGAAGTCCAAGAGAGAAGGAATAGATCGTATTATACAGATTTAAAACTACAATTGATGTAGCTAATTCTGCTACTCCGAGCCATCCTGAAAAGATAATCAGCATTTCATAAACCCACCATTCTATAAGCAACATGAATCAAGAGGGAATTCCATAATAAAGATACTCATAGATCTTTTTAAAAGGGAGCTAAGTCGAATCAGCTAATCCATTGGATCCTCGCTCTGCTAGTGTTCGCACTAAGAAGAACGAAATTAAGGAGGAAGGTAATATCTGTGATAATCGCCACAGCTTTCATCCTATAACCTAATAAATAAACAAACAGGTACAAATTTACTAAATGAATAACCATTGTGATGATAGTAATAAACAAAGAAGGGCTGTAAACCCCACATGCAGAAAGATGTCGCCTTGTTCAGTCGAAGAGCTTGAATACTAAACATCCTGGCAAGATATAAATGATATAAATCCCGGCGATCTCAGCTGACTCTTCAGGCTGTCCAAGAATTTGGAAAATAGCTTTATAATTAATACAGATCAGCATTTGCGGAATGAAGAAGATGATTGCAACTATCATCGAAGTCCTGTAATACACACTTCAAAGGGTGTAATTTCGTCTGCCAAAGGCTTGGGAAACAAGAGTGTCAAGTCCCCCTCAAAAATCAATGGAAAATATTCATATATTGACTGTAACAGAGCCAAGCCCTAGCCCTGAAAGCAGTAAAACATCACCTAGCATACCTACAAAAGCTAGATTCAGGATGCTCATCGAGTACTCAACCAGTCAGGTCAGACTAGAAGGCAGGAAACTGACCAATGAATCTGAAATGGCTTCTGAAAGACTATATGGAGGCTTCTTCGAGCTATGGTCCATTATTTTCAAATATTTTAACTGGATTTGGGGTTTTGGGGTTTTGGGGTTTTGGGGTTTTGGGG